ATAAGCATACCACACAACTGAATATAGAAGTATATGTAAGTGGTAGAATATCCTTTCTCCCAAAAAAACCTAATATAAAACCTCAAATTCAATATTAAACATCAAGGTGTTTTTGAAGAATTTATTGTTATTATTTTAATGTAATGAAATTCTGCATTGGATGTTTTCTTCAAAGGCATCTAATTTTTATTTTGTTAATAACCATTGTTCAGCTGATAATAATTAGATTTTGGCTATATTATTCTTCTTCCAATTGTGTCAGACACTGTACCTAATAAAGAAAAAAAAAGCATCTGGGAAATTCTGAACTTTTCCCATGTTATTTTGTATTATAAAATCTTAGTGAGTTTTGTTTATTTTGTGAATCATTCTGCACCAGATAGAAAGACAGATGGGTAGTGTGAAGTTCAAATATCTGGGCAAATAGGAAGACAGACGGATGGTTTAAATGGTTTAACTATCTCCATGAAAATGTTTGTGTGGACAGCATGACTCTTGAAGTTATACTAAACATTTAAGAAATTAATTAGGTATAATAGAGTTCATTAAAAAATAATAATGTTTGAAAAATGTGACATTAAATATGGAATTCATTAGTTATGCCTTTTGAACTGCCAATAACAACAAATTAGAATAAAATACTCAATTACTCTTGCTTAGAAACTATTTGCTTTACTTTCTTATTATAAACATGTAGACTGTAGAAAAGTTTTTATTACTTGGAACTAATTTATCTGGATACTTCTACATGATCTTTGGAACTGTTGGCAGATTAATTTGTTTAATTTCAAGTAACAGAAATTAAAAATGGTGAATCAAAACAAAAGACAAAGACATCAAAAACCTTAAAATGGTCCTTAGGGCAGGAATATGACTGCTCTGGCAGCTTCTGTACCAGGAGGTAATGAACTTTTCACTCATTTTCAGGCATTAGTGTTGCTTAGCTTCTAGCTGAGATGGTTTTCTTTATGATCTGGTGGGGATCTTGGATTTTGGGAGTCAGCTTTATAAAGGAGTCTCTATCTTTTGTTGGTAGAGAGCAACAGGGGTTTTTTATAGGAAGACTTCAGGGATGGCTGTAGATGTGTCAATTGCATTAATTCTTGGGGATATAATGAAATGTATTTCTGCAAGAATAATGCTAAGTAGCAATGTTCTGTGACAAAATTATTATAGTAAAAACATGTGGGATGATATGTTCCTCAGAATGTTAAAAATCATTCATGATTAGTATTATTGAAGTGATTTACTAATTGCTAAGTTAATAAGATTATCCCACATGCATACAGAATAAGTCAAAATGTCTCTAGGGATTTATGTTAACTGAGGCAAACAAATTATTGGGTTCTGATTAACAATTCTTCGAAATTCAAAGTTCAAGTAAAATAGAATTTTTTAAAAAAATCCTTGGGCATACCTCAAAGTGAGCAGAATTATTAATATTTAAGTTATATATGATTATTATACTGGTTCATGACATAAAATGGTTAATCATATGGGTTGTAATAAAAAATATAAAAAACCACCTCTTTAGTGGTTTAAGTTTCGTTCCCCCGCCCCCCCCCCCCCCCGTGATTTTCTTCAGGTACAAACTAAATTAAAATACTTGTTCCACTCCTGCTACTCTTAGTGGTAGAATCTGTTTCCAGTCAGAAGTGAAAAAAATTAGGAAAGATATTCTGGCAAAAAAATTATTTTCTCATGAGAAGTTCTTAATGTTTTAAAGTAATATAGATCTTTTGTGGTAACATTTTGTGAAATACCTTGGACAGTTATTCAAATGTGTGCAGGAGCCACCTAGTAATGGGCTATGACTAAAGAATTGTATTCTGAAGAATAATCAGATGCACCTCTCTAGGAGGTGATGGTTATAGGACTTGGAAATACTAGAATTTGTTGGTAGTGGATATATACTAGTTTGATGGAAATAATACACACAGAGACACACACACACACACACACATATACAAATATATGAAGCTGTCAAAAATTCTTAAGATCTATTTCTGGGGTCAGGATTAATTGGCAGAACTTCCTTAGAAGGAGAACAGAAATTAATATTTTTTAAAAAAAATTCTTAAGCTGAATTGATAAGAAATATTTATTTGAATTGTCCCCAAAGTTCCAGATTTGCTTTAAAAGTTCTACTTTTCCTATGTTCACATATGAACACTTGACCAGTGAATCTCCACATCATGTAAAACCACAAGAATGGGATCCTAATTAGAATAAATTATGCTCCATGTATGTATAATATGTCAAAATACACTCTACTGTCATGTATATCTAAGAAAATCAAATAAAAAGTTTGATAAATTTACATGTTCATTCACTTACATTGGCAATCTATAAATACTTTCTAAATTGTTTTAGTTGAAGAAGCACACAAAAAAAACTTTAACTCATGACATTTTTGGTATCTCTCAGACCTCTCCCAATTCAAGTCTCAATTTCTGTGCTTGGTTATCAAGTCATTTAGCACCTAGAGTGGTCCTTCTCATCAGATATATTTCCTCCCTCCTTTCCTCAATACTCTCATAGTCTTTCCTTGCCTGTGTAACATTGCTTATTCTTTTTTTTTGTGACATGGAAAAATATCAATATTATCAATAAATTCCATTTATTTATTTATTTATTTTTTATTGGTTGCTCAAAACATTACAATGATCTTGACATATCATATATCATACATTTGATTTAAATGGAGTATGAATTCTTATTTTATTATTTTTTTTAATACAGTAGAATGCTTTATTTGAAAACTATCTCTATAAGTCTTATCTAGAAAACCAGAGTGGGGCCAGTGTGGTGAAAATGGACATGGGGTTGTGTGGGGTCCCTAGGATTCCTAGAGCATTGCTTAAAGGCAGCTTATCTACTAGGTTGGCACTTAATGTGAAATGTTTAGTGGCTGCCATGATGCTTAAGGCTCTGGCGTTGGGTTTGAGGAAAGTGTAATTGTAGCAGACCCATTCTGAGTAGGTCAGTCTGGGGAAGGGCAGCACGACACAGGCCTGTCATAAGCACTGGGGTGCTGGTCTGTTTGTCCTCAGTACCACCTGCCTTACTTAACCCTCTGGTCAGTAGCCATAGCCTGTTAGTCATAGGGTAGAAAACTTATCTTCACTGTCTAACAATTAATGAGTTTGATCTTCAATGATATGGATTACRAGGTTGAAAGCTATAGCAACTCTTTTTTTCTTGCCCTTATAAAAGGAATCATCTGGTGTATTTGTGTATCAACAAAGGCAGATTGTTCACGTTTGTATCCTGGTATAGGATCAACAACAGGTCTGTACACTGACTTTAAAGAAAGGAGCTGGGGGATGATTTACAGTGGAATCACCAAATGGATCTCCTTCTCATAGATGTCAGGGATCACTTCCATTAGGGAGTTACCATGTGCACAGTATTCTGGCCAAACACCTGGAACTCGTAGTAGATGAGCTGCTCCCAAAAGACTTTGTTTGTTTGGATGATGGGCCAGCTTGACTTGGTTCCTATGTGGGCATCTTGCTTGGTACTTCACGGGGTAAGCAAGGCACAAAGTGACTGAGAGATTCACCCCCGCAGCACACTGTTAGCAGCATAAGGCCCTGCTTCATTTCCACATTGTAAATGTGGTCGGGGATGGGGTCAAAGAAGACAGAGCTGTGAGATGGGTGCATTAACCACAGGCAGCTGTGTGTACTGGATATCCTCATGGAAGGTATTACCACTTCCTCCCAGATGTTGATGGTGAGGTGATATGGTTTCTGGACAGCAAGAGCTTGTTTTTGGCAGCTATACCATTGCTGATATAGAGGCTTCTGGTGATCTTTGAGAGGCCAGTGACTGAGGGCTACTAGAACTGAACCTGGAAGGTACACAGAGGCACTGTCATCAAAGGTGTGGGTCAGCAGTTGGCCACATGTGAGGCCTGCATCTTTCTGCTAGGATGTGTCCATGGCAAATTTAAAAGCATGTTGTGAGCCTGGCATGGTGGCACAGGTCTGTAATTCCAGCAACAGAAGAGGCTGAGGCAGGAGGATGGCAAGTTCAAGACCAGTCTCAGCAATTTAGTGAGATCTTCTCTACTTTAGGAGTGTGAGGGGGTTAATTCTTGAAGCAGTGGCACTGCAAATCCCCCAGCAAGGGTATCTAAAATAAAGACCAGTTCAGGTCCTGGCTACAATCTCCACTGGCTCAGTACTCTGGTTTCTGTAGCAGTGGTTTCTCTTCATGGGGAAGAATTGGCTGTTCAGGACTTCAGAGAAATCTTGGCTTCTCTTCTATGCCAAGTGCAACTCTGCCAGTACTTACCAGGTTATCACAGCCCACCTAGTGGAGAAGTACCAATATTGCTTATTTTTCTGCCTGTGATGCTATTCTAATTTACCAGGCTCTATGTCAACCCAAAGTACATGTATGAAGACATAGGGGGAGGGGGAAAGAACCTTGTTTTTAAATACTGAATTTCAAATGTTTAGCATAGTTTCTAGTAGTGTTCAGTTAATAACATTCATTGAGAGGGACAAAATATTGTTCTTTACGTCATATACTTTTCCATACATGCCATATATTTTAAGGTCTATTTTCTCCACAAAGCCTCCTCTGACTAACCTTGGCTTTATTAATATCTCAAACATAGACCTCAACATTTAACATTATTTACAGCCATTTTTGATTTCTTGGTTGTACAATTTCACGTGCACTGCTATTCTGATTTGGTTTAAGCTTCTTGAAGATGAGAGGATCAAGTATCAGTAATTTTTGTGTTGTACATACATTTTGATTCACCGAATATTTGGTGTACATCATGCCCCCTTCTTAGCAACCTGCATGCTAAATACACATAAATAGTACCTTATATAAAGCCTAACACATAATATGAAACTAAAAAATCTTTAGTTTATTATTCATAAAATGTGTGAAATAAAATAGTGGTAATTCAGATGGTACATAGTGAAGAAAAAACTTTTCCTTACCTTTTTGCTAACTTTCTTCACTCTTTATTTCAGGGAAGGAAACAGAAAAGGCCAAGGAACGTTATGACAAAGCTACAATGAAACTTCATATGTTGCATAATCAGTACGTATTGGCACTAAAAGGGGCACAGCTTCATCAGAATCAGTATCATGACACCACACTTCCTCTGCTTCTGGATTCCTTACAAAAGATGCAAGAAGAGATGATAAGAGCTCTGTAAGATATGTTTCCTATTCATCATAAAATCACATTGAAAATTATTTCAAAATATTTTCTACCCCAGTTAAGCTTCTGCTCTGTGAGTTTTTTTTTTTTTACCCAGCACAATGGGTATGTCAGATCTGTGTAATCTTCTTCCTTCATTTTGGGATCATCTACTAAACCTTCTGGCTAGTCCCCAAATGGATCTTCTATCCTGTGTTTTTGTTTTGTTCCAGTTAGCTGAATATTTAAATTAAAAAAAATAATTCATTGGTTGACATATTCTCTGTTCCCAAAGGGTTGAACATTGAAATCTTGAACTGAGAAGCTTTAAGGAAATATTTTTTGAAGGTTTATTTAGGCTTCTTGCTATTTCTTTCTTTATTTTTTGGTATGAGGTTAAAATCAACAAATGCTTATTGAGGTTTTACTGTATACAAATTACACTACTTGCTACTTAGGGATATAGAGATGTGCAGGCACAATTTTTCTTTAAGGAGCTAGCAGTAATCAATAAGTCACTTGCACACACACATTTACCATATACATTGATGTAAGACAATAGAAAAAGATAAGCCACATGTTGGTGGACTTCATCTTCCTTTATTAGTTGATTTTGCAATTTCCAACTGATTAGATTCAAATTTCTTTCACTGAAAATGTGTTTAGGGGAATTCTTCCATGTTAGAGTTGCTGTGCATTAGAAGTAGGGTTAGGAAAGAGAGAAAGGAAATGGGATAGTAATAAAGGAGTGTTAGAGAAGAAGAAATAAGTGTTGGATTATCTCTCAGATAGAAATAAAGTTCATAAATCATGGTGAATTATGAGAAAAGGAACTTGGGCCAGTTCGGATTCTTATATTTAATTAATTTATCTGTAATTATGTAAATTAGAAAATGAATTCTTAGTCTAGTGTACTTTGAAATGTAGCGGTAAATTAATATAAAAGGTAATTGTGAGCATTTTTCAAGTTTTAAGAGGAATCCTGAATTGGGCTTGGTGGCACACAGACTGTAATCCCAACAGCTCTGGAGGCTGAGGTAGGAGGATCGCAAGTTCACAGCCAGCCTTAGCAACTTAGTGGGACCCTAAGCAATTTAGCAAAGCCCTGTCTCGAAATAGAAAATAAAAGCGAGCTGGGATGTGGCTCAGTGGTTAAGTGCCCCTGGGTTCAATCCCTGGTTAAAAAAAATGTGGGACAGCTTGAATAGTTAATGAGTGCCAAAGAAACTATTAGATTAGAATGATAATTTCTAAAACAAAGCTATAACAAATTGTATATTATGTTGTAGTTTGCAGAGCACTTTCATGTGTGTTTGTTCACAAACTCATTTGTTCTGTCCAGTATCCTGAAGAGTTAGGAAGATAAGTTTATATCCAAGGTTTATTTGTGACAGATACATCAGTACTGGCCGAAGATCACAAAGCTAAGAGGTGGTAGATCTGGACTTGAAACGAGGTCTACTGATTATCTCAACATTCTTTCCATTAATATATTAGTAGGTTGAATAGCATGACCCCCAAATTTATATGTACCTTTATGACCTTGTTTGGAAGTAGGTCTTTGTAGATGTAGTAAGTAGTTAAGGATATCAAGATGCGATTGTTCTGGATTTAGGGTAGTCTTGAAATTCAATGACTATAGTCTTTATAAGAAGAAAGTACTCAGGGGAATGCAAACATGGATAGCTATTTGAAGACTGAGGTGGAGTTTGGAATTAGGCTGCCACAAGCCAAGGAATAACTGGTGTCACCCAAAACCGGAGATTTTAATTGTGTTAGGAATTTCTTTTTTACAAATTAGAAAATTCTAAAATGTTGCAAATTGTGCTGGATCACACATTTCCTATTTGATTAATTATACAGAAGGGGAAATGTTTAAAATGTTTCCTAATACCTGTTACCCTGATATTAATTAACCTTAGTAAATGGCTTCATTGTTGCTTTTGAACAACTCTCTGATGTCTAACAGATTCTGTACAACTACATCTCTTTGTATTATATTGTCCCATTCACAGAGAAACATTTCAGATAAGGGATCTAGGTTCCCAGTATTTCTTAGACAACAATGACTTCCAGAACCTCTGAAATTAGAAGATCAGATTTGTCTTTGCTGCCTTTCAGACTCTGCTTGACTTACTTTTGCTTCTCCTTATGTAAAAGTGTGAAGGTAAATAGATGTATATACTTGTTTAAAGGTCAGACTAAATTTTAGATGATAAAATTTTAGAAGAAATAAATTTTAGAGAAAATAAAGTATTTTTAATTACCTTGAATATGTAAACTTTTTATTATTGATAAAATAGTGAAATATATACTTAAAATATTTAATTCATAAATTTAGTTGCTTTACTTTAAATTACATAATTTTGGTTGAGGAATATTTTCTTTCCTACCCTCCATTTGTCAATGAGTATTTTTCAAACTGTTGACATGAATTTTCAGTAGTAGGTCTTAAAGATAACTAGAACATCTTTTTGGGACAAAACATTCCCATAGCATAATTTCTTCACTTTGCAGTACATTATTTTATACTAACATTTAAAAAATTCCAAGTTTGATGTTACCACTGAAATTGAATCCCTGAAACCCATGTGACAAGTACCCATTCATGTACTGTTGGGAGAGATTGCCACCCCCTCCCTGGTATCAATCCCAGTTTGCTTTAAGGGTGAATATTAATGATTCCTACATCAAAACTATTTAGTAATTTCCATATTGTAATCATTTTAGTCCCAGAGATATTGACTAAATATCTATTTTAATTTTTCTGTCTTTTTTTTCTTTAAATTGTATCTGTCAAGTGACTTCTGTAGTAATTTGAAAATTGCATTGCCTGAACCAGTTTTAATTTTTTTAATCCAAATACTTTATTAAAGTAGTAGAGAGAATACTTTATAATAAAGGAGCTTTGTGAGTAATGAATTTTATTTATGAATAATGATTTGAGAAAAGAAAAATAAGTAAAAATAAATAAATGCTATGTATTTATTTGAGGCATATGTAGAATAACATTATCTGTCCACACTTGCTGTTGGAGCCATTAATGACCAATGGCACTTTTGTTTTATTGGTTGTTCAAAACATTACAAAGCTCTTGACATATCATATTTCATACATTAGATTCAAGGCACTTTTTTTTTAAGTTGTATATGGCACAATACCTTTGTTTAATTTATTTATTTTTATGTGGTGCTGAGGATCAAACTCAGTGCCTCATACATGCCAGGCAAGCACTATACCACTGAGCCACAACCCCAGTCCCCAATGGCATATTTTTATAACACAGCAGTTTAAAGAAGGGGATTGGTCTTTGTGACATAATATTTTTTTTTCTTTTGCATTTATTAGATCTTTCGAATTATTAGGCTAATAACTTTGATAACCTTTTTTGCTATTGAATAGAGGTCAGGAGAAAAGGTTTAAATGTCATTGAAGGTATAGAACTAGGTATTATTTACAAAAAAGAAAAAAGCTCCAGGAGTATGACAAGAACCAAGAAGTAGGGCATTTGAGAAGTGGCAGACACTGGAGAGGGATATTTAGAAGACAGGAGTTGATCAGAGGTCCATGTTATGGAATCCAAAATTTCTATGAGAATATTAAGATCTAGAAAATTATCAACACTGGCTCTGCATTTTGGACCTGTTCAATACATGTTTGAAAAGGTAATGCCTTTTTAAAGATCATTTGCAATGATTGTAGTTATTAAATGTAATCCCTCTTCTGTATTCTCCAGGTATGAAATAACATGTGCCTGAAGCTCCCATTTGTAAATTCTGGTAGTACATTTCTATGTCTGTTGTTCTGAATCCTTCTTGGGTCTGTATTTTTTTTTTTGATAAAATTTTAAATGTTATAAAATTTTATTTTTGTTTTCAGAAAAGGAATATTTGATGAATACAGCCAGATAACCAGTCTTGTTACAGAAGAAATAGTGAATGTTCATAAGGAGATTCAATTGTCAGTTGAACAGATAGATCCTAACACAGAATACAATAATTTCATAGATGTTCACAGGTATGATATTTTCATTCCTCTTTAAAAATTTTTGAAAATATAATTTTTCTGCCATATAATATTTAATAAAATTAAGACAAGAAATATTTAAGAACCTATTAGTACATAGTTTATTATAGATTAATTTGTCTGCTTTTGATTTTAAAAGATTTTCTCAATGTTGATAACTATTTTATATAATTATATTTAAAAATTCGTTAATTATTGTATTATTGCTTTAATCCACATTTAGTATATGAAATTATTCTTCTTTTTTAACATTTATATAGAATACTGTGATTTTACATGTGCATTAAACTTCTCAGATACCAATTACTTTTTTTCATCTATGCATCTTATTTTAAGCATATTAAAATTGTGATGGGATGAAACAGGTTAATATTTGTTTTCTGTAGAGAAGGAAAGTAAAGCTGAAGTTACTTGGTTAGACCTTTGGGTTTATTTGTACTTATACTTTTTGTGTTTACTTTGTTAATATAATTTTGAATAAGAATAAATATTCTGCCTTTGGTGTATACAAAGATATATTTTGTTAATATGCTAATACTGATCAGAATTATTTGGCATACTTTACTAGAACAACAGCTGCTCAAGAACAAGAAATTGAGTTTGATACTTCCTTATTAGAAGAAAATGAAAACCTTCAGGCAAATGAGATCATGTGGAATAATTTAACAGCAGAAAGTTTGCAAGTAATGTAAGTATTTAGAAAATCTGAACAGTTTAAAGATTAGTCTTATTGTTATCTTATAATTTATCATATTTAAAACCCCCGTTTTTCAAGTAATAAAAAGTAAATTTGTTTAGAGTGACATATTTTGAGAAATATGTTAATTTTATTCATTGTCACTAATTTTGATAATTCTGAAAATCAAAGTTTTGTGATGTTAAATTAATTTGCCTAATTATTGCTAATATTTTATATTGGAATAATGATTTATTTTTCAAAGAGAGAGAGAGTGTGTGTGTGTCTGTGTGTTTTGTTTTGCAGTACTAGGGATTGAACTCAGAGGTATTTGACCAGTAAGCAGTAACTCCAGCCCTTTATTTATTTATTTTTTGAATTTTGAGATGTTCTAAATTGCTGGAGTTGGCCTTGAACTTATGATCCTTCTGCCTCAGCCTCTCAAGAGGCTGGGATTATAGGTGTTTGCCATTGTGCTTGGCAACATTTTATCCTCACTACTTATTGGCAGAACCATTTTGGAAATAAGGACACTAGTTGTTAGAGATAGGAAAGACATTGATGTCAGAACATTTAGCACAGAATTTGAGTTTTAATTGAGTTCTCTCTAGAATCAAGGATGTCTTCTATTATAGAAGTGTCTACAAAATCAGTTTCTTCTTTGTTGTTTCTGTTACATAAAGTTTTAAAGGAGTTTTAACAAATCTTATTGTGTCTTTTAGTATTTTTCAAATGTTAAAGGCAATTAATAGTGCTTTTTGAATTTATAAAATATAATTAAGACACTATACTGTTAAATATTTAACATCTCCTGATTTTGTTCAGGGATAACACAAAGAAATGTATTTGTTTATTTATTTAGGTACTGGGGATTTAACTCAGGGGTGCTTAATCTCTGAGCCACAGCCTCAGTCCTTTTTGTATTTTATTTAGAGACAGGGCTCCTTAAGTTTCTTAGGGCCTTGCTGAGTTGCTGAGGCTGGCTTTGAACTCATGATCCTCCTGTCTCAGCCTTCCATGCTGCTGGATTATGGGTGCATGCCACAGCGCCTGACCAAGAAATATTTATATATTTATTTAATTATTTATTTTTTAAGTTTTAAAATATTTTTTTAACTTTTTTTAAAAAAAATTTTTATTAGTTGCTCAAAACATTACAGTGATCTTGACAAATGGGGTATGTAATCTTAATCTTATTTTTCCACGTGTACAGATTGCAGGATCACGTTGGTTATACAGTCACGTTTATACATAGGGCCATACTAGTGATAAAAGAAATATTTATTAATAAGCATTGTTACTGCTTATCTTTGTGTCAAAACCATAGCTAGAAGTGGTTATGTACTCATTTTTCTTCAATATTGAACTTATAATTATTTCACTTATCAAATTTTACCCCCAATAACATTATTCAAAAGTTCTCATCTAATGTAATTAATCTCCTTCAGTTATTCAGTTACATTTTAGTGGTATATATAATTATCTCAGGTAGGATTGTAAAATTAGTTTTGTAAAAATTAGTTTGTAAAGGTGTTTGAAATATCTGCTCAGATAGAATTGAAGGAACTAACAAATGCTTTTGCACAAATCACCTGTTCAAGATGTGGGTTTAGTAACTATGGAGGACTTGCCACTGGTGAGAGGAGTAGAGGCATGGGAGTATCCTGAATTAGATTTTTCTGGCAGCTATATTAAATTTCTTGAAGCTGTTCCCCAAGTTTTTGATGCCCTCTACAGGGGTCTCTTTGACTATTGACTTTGGCCATTGACATTTACAATGAGAGCTATTTCTAAACTGGTAGTTTTCACCTGGTCAGATTTTGTCCTCCAGGGAACATTTGACAATTTCTGGAAAAATTAGCCACTGATGCTACTAAGTATCCAATGGTGTACTGGACAGTTTCCCAGGACAAAAAATTATGTGGCAACAATATCAATAGTGTTGAGGTTGAGAAACTGTACTGTGTAAGCAACAAATGAATTGAACTCATGGTGCAAGATGGTTGGTAGAGTTTCTGAATTCCTGTGTAATGAGATATTCCATTCGTTAATTCATATATTACATGGTAAAATATGGCATAAACTGCCACTGATTTTTTTTATCACTATCTTACTCCCAGATAACATATTTAGTTAACAAAATAATTTTGCTATGTATTTAAAGTTGTAAAGGTTAGTACCTTCAAGAAGTTTATACTAAAATTGATAATTTACTTAATAAATGCCAAAAAGAATGAACATATAAATATTGGGTTATATAATGTGGTAAAATTTAAAAAGCTACCTGTTATGAGCTTTTGTAATCAGAGATTTTATAACTGAAGAAGAATTTGTTTTTTTTTTTCTTTTCAGGGTATAATGAGGATAGAATTAGTTATACTTATAAATCATTGTTTCTTAATCATGGTGATAAAACAGTGAACAAAATATCATTAATTAAGATAATAAATATTTGTTAATATGCTGTAAGATTTAATTGCTTACATCTTACTGAGAAAAAAAATTGAGCTACATTTCATTGCATTGTCTTCAGGATGAGTTTAAGATTACAGTTCAAAAATTTTATTCCAAGAAAGAGTCACTTGATATGTTTATTGGAAATGTTAAGATAAATTTAAGATATTTGAATGTAAGAGTTACTTTTTTGTTACTGTAGTGTTAACATGTTAGAGTTAACACCTATACTTTCCTGAAGACATTAAAATTGTTAATTTATTGATTGTATTGAAATATTTCATTAGGAATGAAAGGAACAGATAGCTATTAGAAAAATAAATACAAATCTCCAGTGATTATGTGAAAAGATATACTTCATTGACAAAGAAATATAAATGAAAAAGAAACTATTTTACTTATCAGATTGGCAAAGATTTAAGTAATTTGATAATATTCAATGTTTTGTAAGGCATAAAGTAATGAGGGCCTGGGATTGTGGCTCAGCGGTGGAGCCCTCTCCTAGCACGGGCAGGACCCGGGTTCGATCCTCAGTACCACATAAAAAATAAAGGCATTGTGTTGTGTCCATCTACACCTAAAAAATATAAATATTAAAATATTAAAAAAAAATTAAGAAATGAACCCTCTTATAAAGTATTGGCAGAAATGTAAATTGATATAATATCTGCCAAATTATTTAAGTAAAACTGGACAGATTACTTAAATCCTGTATGATAGAAATCTAATGACATAATCTATTCATGACAAAGTTATTGCCTTAACCTATCTAAACATGTATCACAAAAAAATTTATCATAATCTCATTATCTGCATGTCAGCTATATTTATATTGGTGTGTACGCCAAGAAGAGTTAAATTTAATGATTTATAGAATTATTTCCTTTTTATAAGAGGAGTGTTTGCATGGTATATTACCCTGTGGTGGTAGGCTGTTTCTCAGGCTCTGATAACAACTGGCACTGTACATCTGAAGTTGTATTCTTCCCATCAAACATAGTTTTAGGTTGCATTATTTTCAGACTTGAATTTGAAGATTCTTTCTTTGCTCTGTTATCTATAACTACTCTTTTGCCACGTCAACAACCTCTTTTTTATTGGATCTACCTTCTTTGCCAAATGCGGGAAAGGGTACTATATATAAGAATATATTAAAAATAAGAATTGATTTTTATCAGACATATTCTAAAATTGAATATTCAAATATTTCTTCTTATTCAATCACTGTTTAATTAAATAACTTGGAAATCATTATTTTAGTTCATTAAGTAATTTAAATAGTCAGGATATAAAATTATGAACATAAAAATATATTTAAATGTTCATTGTGATTTTTGTTATTTTGGATAGATGAAGCATATATTTGAGATTTATTGCAAACTTTAATGGAGTTATGAACTGGCACATTAGCAGTTTATAGCAAATCATAGATAGGTTATTCCAAAATAATGTGAATATTACTGTGCTTGTCAAAGGAGTAATTTTGGTTGATTTTAGCAAAATAGTCAAGTTAAGGTCTTATTTTGTTTTTTTGTTCATTCTATTTTCTAATTTCATGTGAAGTATTATTATTATATTAATTCCTATCAATAGTATATATAATTCCACAAGATTGTGTAAAATGTATATATAATCTTATATTCTAAAGTAAAGCCTGGGCTAGGGTTGTGGCTCAGTGGTAGAGTGCTCACTTAGCATGTGTGAAGCACTGGGGATCGATTCTAAGCAGCACATAAAAAATAAATAAAATAAAGGTATTGTGTCCATCTACAACTTAAAAAAATTAACAAACAAAGCAAAACAAAGCCCAACTTCAGACCTCATGCTTCTCACTACATTTTTACAAATTTAAAATCATAACAGGTTTAGCATTTATTATGGAATATAACGTAGGATCTCTTAAATGAAGAATATAAATTTTCTATGTGGAAAAGTGATTCTCCCAGATCTTGCAGGGCATGAGTTAATAATCTGTATGTAGCCTATGAACCAATTCATCTTGCTGCCTATTCTTATGCAGCCCATGAGCTAAGAATTCTGTTTATTTTTAAATGGTTGAAAGGAAATCAAAGAGAAATTTACTTTGTGTCACCTGAAAATTACATGAAATTTGAATATCAGAGTATATAAATAAAGTTTTATTGGTACATAGTCATGTTTATTCATTTACCTGTTGTCTCTGGGTGATTTCCTGTTGCAACAGCAGGGTCAAGCAGTTGTGTTGTGATAGCAACCATATTTGGCAGTCTCATGACGTCACACCACTGCTTGGCACAATACAAATTAGAGTGACACAGTTATAATTCAGAACCATTTTGAGTGTGACATGTATTGGCATACTGCAGCATTTTATTTACTTTTTATTATCAGTTCATGCCTATTGTGTCAAAACAAGAAGAGAATGGATTTTGAATGCCTTACTTTTAAGGCAAAGTAGAGTGTAGATTGTTTTGTTACTGAATTACATGGCAAAGCCATGTAATTGTGTTTATTATGCAATGATATTATGCCTGCTATGTTCTGGCTGAACTTAATTAAAGTCATATGCTCATGGATCAATATTGATATATGCTGGTACCAATCTCTGTGAAGAGACATTTCCAGAGTGAAGTATGTAAAATCTCATTGTATATCTGCATTAACAGATGAGCATTTACAGTTGATTTTGATAAGCACTAACTTTAAGCCCCAAAGAAGAGAAGTATTATCACCTATAAATGATTAATAGGCTAATATTACAATAAATTGTTTTCAATTATTATTCTATTTTAAATTTACCAACAAAATATTTGTGAATATTTATTTTCTATCTTTTTTATATGACTACCTACATAATATCCTTGGTTTTACTTTTTGGTGGCAAAACCCAAATACATACTTACTCTCCAGACCTTTATAGAAAACATTGGCTTCTATTGTTTAGGATTACACCAACTTAACTGATCCAACTATGGGAATCAATGTGTATGCAACAGGATGTCAAATATTCAATATTCCCTCACGTCTGAAACAGATACTTGTTTTACCAAGTCTGTTTCTGGTTTTTCTGACTTATAGTCTTAGCTCAGGATTGCTCTCTAGTTGAATATGTATAGAATTTTATTCAGCTGTTTTTTTATTTACTTAATCCTCATCTTTCTTCTTTCTCACTTTGTTTCCATTTTTCTTTTTTGTAGTTTAATTTGTCTAATTTGATGAAATTAGACTTTTTACACCAACACTGCCCATGAGTACTTCTTGGAAATATTAAAATGTTCTCTATTGGTATGCAGTGTTCTCATTGAGTGAGGTAAACTACTAGTCACATTTCAATTTAGCACTTGAAGCATGGCTAATGCAACCAAGGAATGGACATTTTAATTCAAATTAAGTTACATGTGGCTCTTATTCTAGATATCACAGTGTTAGATTGTGAGTGCTTTCTTGGTAAGTGTAAAGTCTCCATAATTAATGTGTTGATTGATAATGTTGAAATTGCCATTCTAGGTTGAAAACTTTAGCTGAAGAACTTATGCAGACACAGCAGATGCTTCTAAACAAGGAGGAGGCTGTCCTGGAGCTAGAGAAGAGAATTGAAGAGTCTTCTAAGACCTGTGAAAAGAAGTCTGAGTGAGTAAAAGAAAAACAACTGAAGCAAGAAAGCTTAATTGATGAAATTTTATACAAATCGTTCTGTGTTACAACCAAAACATTTCCAGAAATGGAAACTTCAATTTAAGTATAAATCTTTGTATAATTGAGTTAATTTCTAGGACTCTTGAAAAATGCTTCTGCATTTTTGTAGATGTGGTGTGCCCTAGAAAGTGATGCCATGTTTTTGAAAATAGATTGATCATGTTTCGATATTTTAACAGTTTGAACTATGTTTTGAAAGACCCCTCTACATAAAGCTCTCTTTACTTTCCCACATTCATTTTTACCAAATGCACTATGAATCCCTTTATTAAAGTGTCAGACCAATATTAGCCAGAAACTGGTTTGTACTGTGTTAAAAGGAAGCAGACAAACCGATTAGAAAATAGTAATCTGATTCACCTATGCAAATCTCCCTGAGGTTTGTTGTGTTGTTTTTGTTTTACTATTGTTTGTCTGGCTGATTTCCGGATTGTAAATATCTTCCTGGGTTTCTGAGTTTACATATCTTGGTATATTATTCCTTTCACTAATTATAGTGTCTTTTCTGTTCCTTCAAAATTTAAATTTTGATCTATAACCTTAAATTACTGATCTGATAGGTAATGGCATGCATCAACAACAATGGTTGCTGGTATGATTTCTCTAATCCTGACTTGCTATCATACTCTCACAACTTGTTTGACTCTCAAGGAATTTGTGATGTGTTGGATTTTTCCGGTCTACACACTTGCTCTTATTTCTGCACAAATTTACAAATATTCTTTACTTCTGTGAAATTTATGATCCTCTTGTTCTGCTCATTATTGTAAGCAGATGGACTTATATACTGCAGAAAAAATTAGAAACATTAGGTGATAACTCCCTTATTATGGGGGAACTAGACATCCACACCTATTCACATTAGCATTCATTCTTTTTCCTTGTTTCAACTGAGTTTTCTTGTTCTGAGTTTATTTCTTGTGATATTTTAGAAATTATCGTATGATCTCTTACTTTCCCATGAATTTTACACTATTTTATATATTATTTTTACCTCCACCCCCAAAGTTGTGCTCATTTTTTATATGTACTCAAGTCTTAGTTCCAAAAAACAATTTTTACCTCCCTACTTTCCAACCCCCTCACTGTTTTTTTCCTTCAGTGCGTGGGATTGAACCCTAAGGCCTTGTGCATACTAGGATGTGCTCTTCCACTGAATTATGCCCCCAACTCCCAAGACTCATTTTTAGTCTCCATATTTCCCCAGTTATTATCTTTGCCTTCTGTTCTTTTGGTTTAAAGTTGTTCTAAGAGTGTTGCACTCACCATGTCAATTCCCACTTAGTTTTCAACTTACATATAATTTTTCCCTATTGCTCTAGAAATAGGTGTGTTAAGATTACCAGTGACCTCTTCTTTGATAACTGTCTTTCCTGATCTTTCAACAGTATCTGACTTTGCTGCTTCATGTTCTTTCCTTTCCCTTTACATTTGGAACCCAAGATGCCAGATTATTCCTATTTTGCTGGTCATTTCTTTGCCAGCTCAATCTTCTCCACTCACTCAATCCATTATGGAGTAACTAAAATCATGACCATTTGCTTTGTCACTCTTCTCCCTGACCTCTTACTCTAGGTAATCTTCTGAAGATGGCCCAAGTTTTTTTACTCTCAGATTTTTTGGCTACTTGTTAGCCCATTTGGGATGTCTTAGAAGTTATCCTACATTGCCCATGTATAAGTCTAAATTTAAAAATCTCAATATAGCTGAACCAAACCTCATCTAGTTTACTCTTACTATACTCTATTTCAGTGAAAGACACTAGCATCTTTCCTGTTATAACATAGAATATTGAGTCCTGCTTCTCTTATTTATACTGTATTTCTTATACAATTTGGTATTAAATTTCTGTCATAGTCAGTTTGGGATTCTATAATAAAGTACCATAGACAAGGTGACTTGTAAATAATATTCTTTATTTTTCATAGTTCTAAAGGCTGGAAGACTAAGATCAGGGTGCGTTACTGGTTGGGTTCTCCTATGGACCTTTTACAGATGGCTGTCTTCTTGTATCCTTATGTGGCCAATTGAGAATGAAATGGTTATCTTGGGTCCCTTTTAAAAGGACACTAATTCTATTCATGAGGAGACCACCCTCATAGCCTAATTACCTTCCAAAGGCCTCACCTTCTAAAACCATCATGTAGGGGTTGGATTTTAGCATATGAATTTTGGAAGCATATAATCATTCTATCTATTACAATATCATTTTGGAATGAGTATGCCTTTTAAAAGCAAAGGAGAATGGAGCTGGGGTTGTGGCTCAGGGATAGAGCTCTTGCCTAGCATGTTCAAGGGTGCTGGGTTTGATCCTCAGCACCACATAAAAATAAATAAATAAAGGTATTGTGCAACTAAAAAAAAAGCAAAGGAGAATGAAACTAATCAAACTATGTATGTGCATATACAAGTATGGCACAATGAGACCCATTATTCTGTAGAAATTATTAGGTACCAATAAAAACAAAAAAGAGAACAGAAAGATTTGAGTTACATTGGGCATTCATTTAATCTAGAAACTTTCAGCATTGCATCAACAGAAGATTCTTTTTGAATTATGAAAATAAAACTTAATCATCACACTTATAAAATTCAACTTTTGCTCTTCTCTATTGGTGAATGTATATCTTTACATGTTTACAAATAACCAAATTGTTTTTTCTTTTATAGTTTTACAAATGCACACAATATAAATGTCTCCTATTTTAAAGGTTAGTGAATGTAAAGAAAGACATCAGGGCTGGGCACAGTGGTGCACACCTGTAATCGCTGTGATTTAGAGGATGAGGCAGGAGACTCACAAGTTCAAAGCCAGCCTCTGCAACTTAGTGAGGGCCTAAGCAACTTAGTGAGACCTATTTCAAAATTAAAAATTAAAATGAGCTGAGGAAGTGGCCCAGTGGTAAAGTGAACCTGGGTTCAGTCCCCAGTACCAAAACAAACAACCAACAACAAAAAAAAAGAAAGACAATTGGGTATGCTGATCCCTTTTTTCTAGGATGTCTGAGTATATATTTGCTAGAGAAGGTAATCTTTACAGTTTTTCTTAATCTGGAAGTTTGGGACTTTTTAAAAATGTGTTTTCTTAATTCAGTTATTTGTATCTTTTCATTTACACTATGGTGCAGTCTTTTTCCTTCATTTATTTGTATTTATTAGAAGATGAGAATAAGAGTAAAGGAGAATGAACTTGATAGGTGATGGGAATATGGAAAGTAGCATTTCTTGAATTTTTACTTTGTATCACATACTATGTTGGAAATGATAAAATCTCACTGAATGTTATTTTTCTATTCCTTCTTCATAATGGCCTATATTTTACCTGTAGGACTTTGAGAATTTATATTACTTACCTATGACCACATATATAAGTTTTAGAAAATGCATTAGTTTCTGATTCCAAAGCTTCTATCTTTTTGATCATAGTTTTTATTGATCTTATGATTTTAATAGCATACTTAGAAATATGTTAGAGGGGAGTGTCACGTATGCCAAGCTTTTCAGGGTATGAAACCCAATTTCTGTTAGCCTGTGTTACCATGGAATTTTTATTGTTTGCTTCAGGATAAAATCTTGACAATATTAAGTATATTATATAACTAAATGGTCACTGCTAAATCCCATTCATTTATACATTGGAGTGGTTGATGTTTGCCTTTGCATTATTTGTTAAAATATTTCACTAAAAAAAATCTTAAAAGGATCCTAGGGTGATGTGTTTGGATTTTATTTCTTAAGGTTTCTTGGGTACTTCCTGTTTTTGTGACCATCTGTATATATCTGTACATGTATATTTAAATACATATATAATCAAAATAAGTTTTTATCTGGTTTTAAATTGGTTTAGACTTATTGTTACTTATAGCTTTGTTAGCAACCTATACTATATTACTTGAAAATAATGCAAACGTATTATATTTCTTTATGAATACTAAAAATATTCCATATTAGATATTCACATTCTTAAGTCATTTCTAAATTAGTTTGCTTATAGAATAATTTGCCCTATCAAATGATAATAAGCGACTAAAATCAAATTCTTTAAATTTGATTTTAATATAAATATTTCACAGCATCATCTAATATTTACAACTCCTGAAGGAGTATAACAAGTCTTATCCTCAAAACAGATATTTTTAGATAATTATACATTAACATGTAATAATAAGAAACAATATAGAGAGATTCCTTGTACCTTATAGTCAATTTCTTCCATGGTAATATCTTGAAAAACTTTAAAATAATATTAAAACCCAGGTTTTGACATTGACCACAAAATACAAAACATCAGATATGTGATTTACAAATAGTTTTTCTCCCAGTCTGTAGCTTCATTTTCATTTTCTTGACAAAATCTTTTAGAAGAAAATTAAATTTTGGGCTGGGGATGTGGCTCAAGTGGTAGCGTGTTCGCCTGGCATGTGTGGGGCGCTAGGTTTGATCCTCAGCACCCCATAAAAATAAAATAAAAGATGTTGTGTCCACCGAAAACTGAAAAATAAATATTAAAAAAACCTCTCTCTCTCTTTAAAAAAAAGAAGAAAATTAAATTTTAATATAGTCCAATTTATTTCACCTTTTGTGATTTATTCCTTTGGTATCAAGTCTAAAAGTTCTTTGCCTAATTAGACCTTGAATTTTTTTACATTTTGCTAAAAATTTAATAGTTTTAGATTTTATATTTAAGTCCATGACCCATTTATATATATATATGATTTGTTCTTTTTAGTTGTACATGACAGTAGAATGTATTTTGGCATATCATACATACATGGATTATAATTTCTCATTTTTATGGTTGTACATGATGTGGAGTTACACTGGTTGTGTATTCATATATGAACATAGTAAAGTTATGGTCAACTCATTCTACTGACTTTCCCATTCCCATCCCCTCTCCCTTCCCCACATGCCCCCCTGTCCAATTTGGTGAACCTCCACTCCTCCCTCCCTATTGCCTATTGAGTCAACATCTGAATATCAGAGAACATTTGGCCTTTGGTTTTGAAGGTTGGCTTATTTCACTTAGCATAATAGTCTCCCGTTCCATTCATTTACTGGTAAATGCCATGATTTCATTCTTTTTTTTKGGGGGGGGTTAAGTAATATTCCTTTGTGTATATGTATCACATTTTCTTTATCCATTAATCTGTTGAAGGCCACATGGTTTGGATCCATAGCTTAGCTATTGTGAATTAAGCTGCTATGAACATTGATGTGGCTGCAACACTGTATTATGCTGATTTTAAGTCCTTTGTATATATACCATGGAGTGGGATAACTGGGTTAAGTGGTGGTTCCATTCAAAGTTTTCTGAGGAATCTCCACACTGCTTTCCAGAGTGATTGCACTAATTTGTGGTCTCACCAAAAATGTATATCTTTTTCCTCACATCCTCACCAATTTGTTATTTGTATTCCTGATAATTGCCATTTTGACTAGGAGTGACGTGGAATCTCAGTATAGTTTCAATTTGCATTTCTTAAATTGCTAGAGATATTGAATATTTTTTCATATATTGTTGATTGATTGTATTTCTTCTTCTGTGAAGTATCTGTTTAGTTTCTTAACCTATTTATTGATTAGGTTATTTATTTATTTATTTTTTTTTGTGTGTGTGTGTGTGTTAAATTTTTTGAGTTCTTTATATATCCTGGAGATTAATGCTCTATTTGAGGTGCATATGGTAAATATTTTCTCCCATTTCTGTAAGCTCTCTCTTCATATTACTGATTGTTTTCCTTTGCAGAGAAGAAACGTTTTAGTTTCATTCAATCTAATTTATTGATTCCTGATTTTTCTTCTTGTACTTTAGGAGTCTTGTTAAGGAAGTTAGTTCCTAAGTCAACATGGTAGAGATTTGGGCCTACTTTTTCTTCTATTAGGTGCAGGGTCTCTGTTCTAGTGCCTAAGTTCTTGATCCATATTGAGTTGATTTTTCTGCATAGTGAGAGATAGGATTTTAGTTTCATTTTGCTACACATTGATATCTAGTTTTTCCAGCACCATTTGTTGAAGAGGATATCTTTTTCCAATGTATGTTTTTGGCACCTTTGTCTAGTAGTCTAGTATGAGATAACTGTATTTGTGTGTGTTTGTGTCTGACTGTTGGTCTACATATGTGTTTTGGTGACAATATCTTGCTGTGTTTTTTTTGTTTTTGTTTTTGTTTTTTGTTTTTTACTGTGGCTCTGTAGTATAATTTAAGGTTTGGTATTGTGATCCCTCCTGCTTCAGTTTTCTTGCTGAGGATTGGTTTGGCTACTCTGGGCCTCTTATTTTTCCAAACAAATTTCATGACTGCCTCTTCTATTTCTATAAAGAATGTCATTGGAACCTTAATAAGAATTGCATTAAATCTGTATAGTGTTTTTTGGTAGTTTGGCCATTTGACAATATTCTCATTTCCCATTTTAAGATGACTTAAAAGTATTATACATATGTGATAATATCCATATTATCTTTTTAAGGTAATTTAAAAGCATATACATACCTGTACATATACAAACACACACACACAAATTTATTCAATTATATTTCTTTAGGTCTGAATGAGCTTTATGCACTAAAAGCAATGTATTTATAGGAATGATTTCTTGTGGAGTCTTCTTTACTTTTTCCAGCTTCTAAAGGCTATTTTCCTTCTCTTGGTTTGGCCTCTCAGCACATTGTTTTTTCCCCTATCATTTCAGTTGTCAACTGCCCTTTCTGAAATTGTCTCTTGTCTTCCTCTTATGAGGATAGTTAAGTTACTTGGGGTAATTTGGGATAATCCAGGATAATATACCCATATTAAAAATTTTAACTTAATCATATCTAGACATTTTTTTTTTTTTTTTTTTTTTTGCTGTGTGAGATAACTTATTCTATTGGTTTTGGAAATGAGCATCTGGTCATCTTTAGGGGACTGTTTTTCAATTTGCCACAGGTTTAAGATAGAGTCAAATTTATGCTGTTTACTCCCATAAATAGATGTTTTTAAAAATTATATTTGGGTACTCATTAACATTTACTTTTTTGGTAATTATTATGCCTTGTTATTTCATATTTCACTTTTGCAAAGCTTATTTTCATTCTTTTAATTTATTTTTTACATTTTCCCATTTGTCTTTATGAAGTACTGCTAACAGTACTATATTGTTATTTTCAAGTATACCCCTCTGTTTGTTTTGTCCACATTTAAAAAATAATTTAAATTGTTACTTAGTTACTTATTATCATTTTCTTTTCTTTACTTTTCTTTTCTCCCCTCTCTCTCCCTCTCTCTCTCTCTCTTTCTTTCTTTCTTTTTTTTGGCTAGGAAGATGCAAAGAAGAAACCCTTAAGAAGCTCTTAGTATAGAGTAGATGTAATTTTTTCTAGGACTTGGGTCCTTAAAACATTCTGTTCACTAAAGTGATTATATTAACAAGTCATGTTTCTCTGGAAGGATTCCCTAAGACATCAAAATACAAATTTATTGTAAAAAAGCAATTACTGACTAATAAGCAAACCAGCATGAATTTACCAAGAAATCTGTGCAGATTTAGAAAATAGGCCATGGACTTAGAATGATGGTGATATAAATGATAATTATCATTTATTGAATTCTACTGTTTAGAGTAATCTGTCTTCTGGACATTTCTAGGTCTCCTACAAATATTCTCACTCATTAGTTCAATTTTCCCAAGCACTGTTCTCCACATTTCTGTTGGTATATCTTCCCCTGAAACTCAATGCAATATAAAGACTTGCTTTCTTTATAGTAGTCATGAGCTTATACCCAGAACATCAATCAGCAGATGAGTTATATCTATCTCTCTGTGGGTTCATTGTGGTTAAAAACACTTGTTCTGTTTACATTTTGATTCTTGAAAGTTTCAAGTTTCAGAATTTATCATTTTCTGACTTTATGCCCAAATTATGAAGCTTTTTCTAATTTAAAATCTATTGTCTCTTATGAATTAATAACTTTTGGCAGTGCGTGTGGCATAGTTCTTTCATGATATTAATATATACTCTACAAATGAGGTGTTTCCAGAGGCCTTTCCACCATCCCTACCTGTTTTCCTATGGCTTATATGTGTATAAATGAGTTTGAAACTCCCATTGAATGCAGCCTTTTTAGGGGCAAGTTCTCTAAAAGAGGGTGGGGTGATCTGTCTTTATGTTAATATTGGATAGGTTTGTGGACTTAGTTTATAATTCTTTCCACAATCACACTGAACCCCATTCCTTGCCATAATCCCTTTCCCTATTACTTGCCTGATAATATACACACTGCTGAGAGTCGCATTAATTCATTTCTTTTACCCTAGGCACAGATCTTACCCTTACTATATTACCATTGAAATTTGAAATAAATTTAAAATTCTTCTGTCATTTTCATTCATTTTAGGCCCTAAACTTCTGGACCTAAGTATTTTTACTCTATGAAGAAGATGGTCTAGGTGTAAAGTAAAATGAATGTCATAGATCACAATATATTTGAAAGCATTTTGAATTTGGGCTTTATTTCCAAATACTTTCTTCCATTTTGTATATGATAACTTTTCCTAACTATTGTGACAACTAAAAATGTTTAATTTCATTTTCTTATGATTCTGAAGGACTCCTATAAAAAGGAAAATGAAAGGAAATAAAAACATAATCTACATATATACTTTCTATTAATGTCTTCACTTAAAAAAATTGTAGTAATTTATATTTAATTTATTGTTTTTTAGTATTGTGCTTCTGCTAAGCCAAAAACAGACACTTGAAGAGCTGAAACAATCGGTCCAACAGCTGAAATGCACTGAGGCAAAGTTTGCAGCACAGAAAGAATTACTAGAGCAAAAAGTACAAGAAAATGATGGAAAAGAGCCACCTCCAATAGTAAATTATGAAGAAGATGCACGATCAGTTACATCTATGGTAAGCCAAAGAGTAATCCAGTGAGTGACTTGAAAGAGTAGTGTCTAGCCAACAAGTGAATACAAAATTTAGTTCTAACTTGCTATAACAAATTATTGCTCTTGTTAATATGCAGGTCCTATCAGACTTGTTTTTAAATGCAAAATAGAGTTGTCAGTCATCTCAGGTCACCTGGAGAGCACTTTCAAAACCAGCTATAGAGTCAGAGGAAAACGTTCATCTCTTGCCTTCAAAACTGCAAAGAAAGAACTATAATTGTTTTTGTTCCTGGGAGACAGCAGGAAGGCAGGGTGTATTTCTTAAGATAGAAGTAAGAAATAAGGAGAAAACTGTTTATTATTAGTTTTTTCTTCTTAAGAGTAGTAGAGTTTTATTTACCTCAGATTGGTGGTATGTTCATTGTTTTCATAAATCAAAATATTGATTTAGTTTTAAAAAGAAGTTTTAGCTAGTAATTCACCAACTTGAAGTTTATTTTATTAATTGTTTAAGAATGTCTGGAATAAAATTCTTTGATTTCCCTCTCTCCGTCCTTATCTCCCCTTCTCTCTCCCTCTTCTTTCTGTTGATGGTTCTAATTAACGGGAAGTTTTGCCTAATAGGGGAGATTTGGCAGCATCTTCAGACATTTTTCATTGTAACAACTAGTTGATGCTGTTGGTGTCTAAAGGCTGTTAAATAGCCTCCATTCATAGAGCAGCCTCTTTATCACATCTCCAATGAAAAGTTATCCAGCCCAAAGTGTCAATATGCTGTGGTTGAAAAAACCTGAGCTATATCCTTGTTTTTTCTGTGGGTTAGCTGGATGTATTCCATAGATAGAACTATTATAGTAAATGAATTTATAGTTGATATTTTAGTAACTTTATGTGATTCTAAAAAAGTATAGTTTGATTGGTAAATGGATTCAAATGTCTTCAAAAGGCTGAATTAGAAACTGTTAAATGTGGAAATAAATATAAAATATTTGAAATATTGTGGTTACTGCTATTTTTGTTATTAACTGAGCCGTACCAATCTATAGATCACTTCATGAATTTTAGTTCCTTGCTCTACAGTACTGCTAGATTCTCCTTATTGCTTTATGATTCTCTTTAACAATCTGGTATATACATTCTTTCAGAGAAGTTTTTCATTTTTTTTCTTTTACTTGGCATTTGAGAACCTTAAGTCTTTTTTGCTTTTGAGTGTATTTTATAATATTTTCCTATCACCATGTGGGTGTGGAATTTGTTAGTTATTTGGTTAATGGCTTGACTTRGTGGTGGATTGGTTAATACTGGCTAATTTAAGTGTAGATAACACATGTTGACATTATCATGATAGAATAAAAGATAGTTATTTGAGTTGTTAGATGATAGCTATTCTTATTGATAACTATGTATATAAACATGACTTTCAAATATAAAATATATTAGTTAATTCTCATTTTCTTAAGATTTTATAATCATTTGGAGTTTAATATTTCATAATCTTTGAGGAAAATCTTTATTCACCAAGTGAATTGAATAAACAATGTTTCAAAGGGAATGTATAATAAAGTTTAAGAGAACAAACCACCTTTTGACACCTTCAAGCTCTTTTCTCATACTCATTTATTAAGTGGTGATAATACCTGTTTATTTTTGCAAAGCAATGCTAGATATTTCATTTCATCCAATTTATTTTAAATAATTGAAAGAATAATTATAAATATGTCTTATCTAGTCATTTAAACAATGTCTTTAGTAAGTGTTTAGTTGAAAAATTAAAGTCAGTAAGTTTTTACAATTAGTTAATTCTATAGAGGAATACTATAATATATGTAGTTAAAAGTAATAGATTAATACTGTAATATATGTAGTTAAAAGTAATAGACAGGGGATCCCCCAAATTAATGCCAATTAATGATATTTTATAATATATTTTATGAAGAAAGTAGAAATACTTACAATGTATGGTTCTTAAAAATTGATACTCCCACTAATATCAATGGAATTTTTGCATACTTTAATATTTTGAATAGTATTTAGAATGCAACTTTTCAGTTTACTTGAAAACAATAAAAATAATAAAGCATAAATGATTTTTTCCCCCAATGGTTTTTTAAGCACTGTTTTATGAGCAACCTTACAAAAAGAGCCTGGATTTAACATAAGTTTTATGGGCTTTTCCTTTTTAAAAAATTCTACCTCATAAATGGTGTAAAATTTAAATAAGAGAATTTAGTTGACTATTGTAAGAATTGAAAAACCTTAACATTAAACTATAATATTATGGAAAGTTGTGAAAACTGGGCCTAAATTTTAAGAGCAGAAGAGACAGATAACTAATCCCTGTAATCCTTGTTAATGGCAATTACACCTAAAACATTGACTCTTCAGTGGTGAATGTCTTTGTGGCAGAATACTTTCAAAAATTGTACCATTGGCCATGGATGAGTATTCTTATGGATTCTAAGCAATGCAGATATGTAACCAGAGTAAGCATTGTGTAATCAGGTTCTTAGATGTATTGTTGCTTCTTTTGGCTTCATAATTCAATGAGATAAAACCCATTAATTTGTAAAAAATCCAAAAAAATATTGAAGATAATATAAATTATGTTGTATAATGTATTAATCTCTTTCTGTATAGATCATTCTTCTGATATTATCTTTTTCATCTAGTATAATTTTGGCCAGAATACAGAGGAGAACATGATAAATATTAAATATTACACAAAAATTCTCTACTGTTTTTGATTATGTGGTTTTCATTTTTATTCAAGCATTATTTATTGATCACCTACTGTGTGATGAGCACATTTCTAGATGTTGGTATACATCAGTGAATAAAACAAATAAAAAGAATCTCTTCTCTTCAAGATTACTCATTCCATAGGGAGTGGCAGTTAATAAATAAGTAAATTAAATATTACACTGGAAGGTGATAAGTTTCAAGGAGTAAATACAGAGCAGTCTAAAGGATTGGGGATCTAGAGTGTCAGAAGTTGGGACAGTTTTAAAGGCTGGTCTGGATAAATAACAATGAGAAGGTGACATCTGAGCAAACACTTGAAACAGGGATGTAGTTAGCAAGACACTCTGATGTCTGAGGAAAGCACATTCTGCTCACAGGTGCATTCATTGCAATGACTGTAAGGCAGGAGCATGTCTGGACTGTTCAAGTACAGCCAGGAGTCCTGAATAGAGGAAGGTGTGAAAGCAGAGGTCAGAGAAATTATGAAGAATAGATTTTAGGGCTTTATGGGTCATGATTAAGGTTATAGCTTTTCTCTGAGGTAAGCAGGGAGCCTTTGGGTTGGGGAGTTATAACAGAGGAACGGTATGCCATGACTTTGGAGTGAAATGGTTCACTGTGGCAACTGTGTTGAGAATGTATTTAATGGGATCAAAAGTGGGAAAATGAGACTATTGGCAGTAACCTAGATGAAAGAAGATGATGGTTTGAGCAAGGATGGTAGGTCTTGATATAGTTTGAGGGTTAAGCGACTGTGGATGTGAAGTATGAGAGGAGTCAAAGATGACTTTAAGATTTTTAGCTAGTGCTGTTGGAGGAATGGAATTGGTTTTGAGTGAAATTGAAAAGCTATAGGTAGAACAGCTCTGATGAGGAAGATCAAAATTTCAGTTGGTTTTTCCAAAAAGATATGTCAGTAGAAATTGGATATTTGGCCCTGGAGGTTAGGAGCATGATTTGAACTGCAAATATAAATTTGAGTGTTGTAGGTGTTAGATGGTACTTAACTGATTTGACTGCTCAAAATCACTAGATGAGAGAAGATAAAAAAGAAAAGAGAAACACAGATTAAAGTCTGGGGCACTTCAGTTAAGAGGTTTACAAACAGGAGTAACAATAGAAGAGACTGAGAACTAACCAATATAGGAGATGAAAAATTAAGAGAATCAGATGTCCTTGAAGCCTAGTGAAGAAAATATTTCAAGGCAAAGGGAGTAATCAATTGAATTAAATGTTATTGATGAGTGCTATAAAATGAGAAACGATAATTGAGTATTAGAAGTAACAACATGAAGGTCACTACTGAGCAGTTTCAATAGAATATAGAGGATAAAACCTATTTAAGAGGGATATAAGAGAGAAGGAAATGAGAATTGTATGAAGTGAGCAAAGACAAGTTTTACAAGGATTTCTATAAATTTCAAAGGTACACATAAAAAATTCAGGCAATAAATTTGGGAATGTTCAGTACTTACTTAAAGAAGAAGAAATTATTTTATCTGAATGTTAAAAATATAATCCAGTAGAAAGGCAAAAACAAACCAACCAACCATGTTTTTAGGTAAGGGAGAAGTTTTCAGAATTAATAGGTGAGAGATTATGAGTTATAATACTCAAATGGGGTAGCTTTGATATTGTCACAATAATTGAAAGGCATGATGGTGATTCCTGATAGGTGTGTGGATGTGGTGGTGATAGAGATTCTGGGAATGTTTTCTTCTGATTGTTTATTGGCTGAGAATGAAAGTGTTAGAAGAGTTATTGGATACTGGAAGAACAGGAGAAGGAGAATGGGAGAATGAATGGACTAGGACAATATAGTGTGATTGCTAGGTAGTAACAAAGGCTCCCTTGAGGTTGTGATCCTGCACAACACAACCAAGAATATATGATGGAAGATACAGTGCTGGGATCACAAGTTTAGGATGGAACTTGTAAGTAGTGTTGTATAAACTGTGCTCAGCTACACTGGCATGATGCAGAGTAGGCTGTCTATAGTTAGATTTATTTAATGCTGTGGTTTTCCTAGGTATGTATGATGAATGAATTAAGAAAGGGGCAAAGGAGGAAAGCTTCGAGTAAGAAAGTGATTATAATGATTGAGTAAAGAATTTAAGTTATTAAGGAAGAGAAAAGATGTCAAGAGGAGAGTGATAGTTAAAAAAAGTGGTAGGATCAGTTTATAGGAGTCCAGAGTGGTCAAAAGACCATTATAAACATCCACATGTAAAACTTTGAATGGCAATGCTTATCTTCCAGATGTTAGCTTATAATTTAAGA